CAACATAACCCTACTGTGGGCAAAATTAACTATGAATTTTCAGGAGAGAGATAATCTCAAAACTTAAGTTTTAACTCAGAAGCTACCACAGAATTTTTCTATGGCGACACAGCTACACAGACCAGTAATTCCACAAACTGTAAAAGTACAAGTATGGAACAATGATGCTATGTATCTCTGGGTGCTTGCTTTAGTAAGGGAAATCATTACAACATACACAGACTGATATTATCTATGCAGCTATGCACTAAAAGATGCACTCAGATTTTCTTGTAGTCTGCATATCACCAACAGACTTGTAGCCAGAAAGGGCACAATCTGTTGCTTAGCTTCTAGGAGTAAACAGTGGGACCTGTCAATAAAGAATATGAGGGTGAATCATGTGGCTCTGCTCTGATTCAGAAATGGTACATAACATTGGTCCTCAAACCTCCAATTTTTTGGTATTCAGTTTTCAGAGAACAGCATTTTAGCTCTGAGGAAACAAAAATACAGTTCTCTCAAGAATTAATACATTGTAGAAACAGTACGTTCTTTAGTTTTGAGATATCACATCTTTAAGAACATTCTGCCCCCTGAAAACAATTATTCATTCTTATTTCCCTTTGTTTTCTTGTTATATTCACTGTATAGTTTTTAAAGTTATGTAAGAAGAAAAAAATAAAAATAAATCAACACACAAAATAAACCCACGCTCATGTTCTTAAAGTGTTCAAAGCATGGTTTTGCTGGTTTAGAAAATGTTTCACTGAGTGTTCGAGCTCTCCTATACAGTTGAAATTCTGAGTAAACTTCTCAGAAATGTCAGTAAGCTAGACCCACAGGGCAGAGTTTTAAAGAACACAGCTTCTACATGTGTGGTTTCCCTAGCGAAATCTACCACGCTGCACTAAGCACTTAAGCTGCAATGGGACATCAGGGAGCATGCTGCTGAAAATGGGATTATCAATTGCTGAAAGCTGATCTTGAGCTACAAAAATATTAGGTAATGGGAAATGTTGAGAACTGGCAGAGATTCAACTCTCCTCTTAGGACTAGATAACTGCTTATAGATGTCAAAGAAATGCCCACTTCCAGTTCTGATATACAGCTCAGGTGCTCTTAAACGACTATGCAGAAACATGTCAACAACTTTATGGAGAAATGGAAGTCAGTGAAATTGCATGCTGGAATCTCATTCTACTTTAATTTTGTAGATTGCATATTAGCCTGCCACTAAGGTATGTGTATGCTCCCATTCCCCTTCGTCCCTCCGTGTATTTACTGCCCTGGAACTGTTTCCTTCATTCTGGTGTTCATCAGGTCCTACCTCTGAGCTGCTTCATCTTTCCCACTCCATAATGAAAGGCCTCTCTCTGGCAGGACACTGTGACTCAAGACTTGTATAGACATACTTTTTCACATTCTTTCTATGCACTTGTGGTAGGAAAAAAATTAAAATCCTTCAAAGAGACAGCATAGTCGGAGCCAGTCCAGCTTCTCCAGTGAAGTGGCTTACAGGGTAAACACTTTATCAGTAGTGTGAAACCAGAATTCAGCACTCTTCCTTAGCCCAAAAAAGCCACCTTAAAAAAAAACGACCAAATATTTTTGAAAGCCATCTTTCTTAATCACTATAATGGTGGAACTTCCCCATCAACTCAAAATTGCACAAATATAATAGAAAACACGAAGGACTACACTAACTAGATTACATGATCCCACAGGCATGTAAGTGGGTCAGTCTTGCTACAAAAACAAACCACAAAAAAAATATTCAATATGTCAGTCTGGCTTTAAGTAACTTAAGTAACTTCGATGCTTCTGAAAATTCTACCTGCATCACCAATGCAAATATGTGACAGAAAAATTACGGTCAGTTGTTCAGACACAAAAGTATACATGTAACTAGACCACAGATACTACTTTGATGTTTATATTCTGCCCCCCTCCCCCCCCACACTATTACTTTAACAGTCTATGACCTTCATATTCATTTGGTGCTTCTTCTTCCCCTGAAAGGAATAAAAACTTCTGAAATGCCAAACAAATTTAAAAGAATTAATGTGCATGGAAATTCTCTCTCAAGGACCAGCAGCTTGTGGGTTGATGTGGGGATCTTTCCTTGGAACTATAATCAAAAAGAGGTATTCTGTCACACAGACAAATGCATCGTGTGGAATAATAACATTATTTTCTGCACAACCGATTTATAAAAGGTTATGTCTGGTGTGCATATACAAAATATACATATTAGAGGTGGCAAAGTATTTTCTCCAGTTGAATTGATATTAGCACAAGTCTCCTTCATCAGTTATTGTTTGCACTGACATCCAATATGTCATTTGTAAGGACACCTGCTTCTATCTGGCACTAGTGTTTACCAGAGTGGCATTCAGACATCTCTGAATACTGAAGGCCACCCAGCAAACAAAGACTGTCCCATAAAGGTGCTAATCAAAGGAATCTTTAGGATTGTAATGAAATTGCAAAAAAATATTAATTACCTACACATAGTTACTGCTGTACTTCTTTTCTCCATGTGCTTTTCCCAGTGCCTTTTCTGTTACTGCTGGTCTGGGTTGTTTGGTTTTTTTAATTCAATATGCAATTATTTCTACCCACTACTTTATACAGGGCTATAAGAACTTACAAAAGTTTTAATCCCTACAAGTTTTAAATCTTACACATAATAGTGTAGACAGACATGCCAAGATTTCACCAAACGTATCTTTTCATTTAAAATTACATCTACTGGTGGAATAGGTTTTCCTGTTTGGCAAATTAAAAAAACAGGCTTCATGAACTGTTAGTGAGACTTAAAACAGAAAATTGAGAGGACTATTGTATGATGCATCCTCAAATTTTCAGACCCAAGGCTTAAAGTAGATCTGATCGGGGAATAAAAGAAGTAATTCCTTAATTATAACCAACCAATGTATGGTACAAACATGATTAATTTCATTCACATGCATAAATAAGGTCCAATTTCATAACTGCTCAGACTCACTGTGCCTTCTAGAAGCTAAAAAGAAAAGCCAAGGTATTTCATTATTTTCCTGACACTACAATTCTGAACCTCTTGATTGCCAAGAATGTGGTATAATAACCACTACATTGCAACTAACAGCAGATCCATTATATACAAGTATATATTTTTCTTAAAGTTACCTGAATGTATTAGAATTTTGGTTACTCTGATATCAACTTTCAAAAAAGACAAAAGAATACCTAGAAAGTAAAAATCAAGGTGACTGGGGTTTGGAAGAAATCCAAATGCTCCAAAGCATAGCAAATTTCCCAGCACTGCTAAAGAAAGTCAATGATCATTAGCAGAGACAGTTGTTCAGAAAAACTTCAATATGAACACAAGGTCAGCATAGAAATCAAGTAACCTAGTACATACTCTTTTTCCAAACCTTCCCTTTTTAAAATGGCATTGCACTTCACAGTATTTCAATGTAGCAAATAAAATTATTTATTGGAAAAGCCTGATGACTCTGCTTTTTGACTCTATGTGTATAAGAAATATGACCATCACCTAAGCTGGTCTGTCATTTTCATACAGATACAGCAATAGACAAAAATATATATATATATGGATAGAACACTAATTTCAAATGTCTAGGAAACCAGATTACCCTGAATGGTCAACATTTTACATTCCAAATGCAAAGTTAAGTATTAAGGCTATTACAATTCTAGATGCTATAAAATATTTTCAGTAGAATGGTCATATAAATTGAAAAGAAAACTGATGTCACTTCAGCCTGGCAAATAAGAGAAATTTTGCCCCTAGATGAGAAGTTCCCTATCCAGTCAATGTATCTGTCAGTCAAACTTGGTTCCTCCTAGTTACATGTCTTTGAAAGAGCAGAGATACACACACACACACACAGAATCGCTTGGTTGGAAAAGACCTCTGAGATCATCATCTCCAACCGTTCCTGTCTATCCCCTAAACCATAACCTTAAGTACAGGTCATTGTCACACGCTAGCAAAATGAGAAGCAGCTTTTCACAGATGAGTCTTAACCTAACAGTTCGTGTAATCTGAATTATTTCTTCGGAGATATCCTTCTGTTCATCTGTACTTTTCATTAGCAACAGAAATGCCAATTAAGGTACAGAATGTAGGAAGTGTATGGCCCTCACTGCTGTAATAGCTAGCTTTGTCTAGCACAGTGGTAGAACTCATTAATATGAAAAAAACCCATAGAATAAAATGTAAACATTCCTCAACCATTTCTTTTGAGTACACAAAAAAAACTTGATTTGAAGATGCATAGCTTTGGTAACTGACTGCTTAGCGTGGCTCTTCACAGATGTCCTACACGGACAGTGACAATGAAAAGGACTCAAAGATTGCTCAGTATGAATACATAGAGCCTATAGGCCTGTGTAACATGGGACACTCAGGAAAATTAATTCTAATTAATTTGTACAGTGGATTAGTTAAAAACAAAAATATTCCTTTGTCAATATTCTCACAAGAATTTAAGCAGCAAGTTTAACTTAGTTTATGTTAATTCACTTCACTTGGAGCCCTGCAAGTATTTAATGTTGTTTAAGTGATCCCCTGTAAAACTCACACTTTTGGTAATTTAATTAAATTCACCTGAGTATCCAAGTACAGACAAGACATTAAAAAGGAAATGGCAATTAACTACCACTTCTCTGTAAAATACATAGGATGCAACTTTACGTAGATTTTTTTAGTCAATAGACATCCTCAGTTAATGAATAAAGGCTCTGATGTACTTATTTGAAATGTAGTCTTGCAAGAATTCTGTTCAGCTGTGGGGAAAAAGGAGAGGGAATTCACCTCTTCTAGAGAAATGACCAGATGAGTTATGATCAGGCACATATGACTATCTGCCAAGAAGATATACATAGGATATCAGAATAAACTTAAAATAAACCGCACAACTTCACGAAATGTTCAATTTTTATATTTACACTATAATTAGTACAAAATTGTCTTTTAACCTTTCTGTAGCACAAGACAGTATCTACTGAACTTGATATCCTAATATGTCAAAACAACTAATTTGAAGTATGATAAAGGAATCTAGGAAGAGTTATAAAGAATAAGACACCATTTTCAAACTATACATAGTGTTTGCTTTTGCTTCTAAAAAGGTACTTATATCCCCAAAAAGTTTTTAATTTTAAATAAGCAAGGTGGGCAAGAAGGGGTCGGGAGCGGGTAGGGGGGGAAGACTGGTTGTTGGTACTAAAGCCTTTACTATAATAAACTAAATATATTTACAATTTATACAAATGTTTGACCTTCAACAAAAATACAAAAACATATCACAAGATGCAAAACCAGGCAACAGGTTCATCTGAGACACCACTGCTCTACACAGGACAGAATGCAACTTGAACTGCAAGGAACAGAAAAGTATTTATCCCCCATATTCAGACAGTGAAAACAAATTTGCATGAGGTCACAATGAAAGAAAAAAAAAAGGCTCCAACATTCTTCAGTAGACTCGCCTTTTAAAAACTATGTCAAAACCCTAGGCTACATCTGTCCATCTTGCCTCTGTGTTCCTTTTGTTCCACAAAGCCGATATTTAGTTGCTGGATGTTGCCTTCTGTTTTGAAAAACTGGAGTAGTTTCATGGGAAGGTCTGGAACCTCAATACTTTTGTTCCTTTTTAAAAGGCAAAACCTTTCTATTTCTACAATTAAGAACAATTTTGGCCCAGTTCAACTTCTGAAAGTTATATCCCCATCATATTTTTCAGTAGATAACTTCATAGACTGTAGCCTTCTTGTCTCCAGAGCCAGTGACTATGTACTTATCATCCACAGAGATGTCACAGCTAAGCACTGATGAAGATTCTTTGGACTAGAAGAAAAATAGAAATATATTACATAGTTAAAAGGAAGTCTGTTACCCTCATCTCAGCACCCCATTTTGTGTAGATCACATACATAAAGATATCTGAGTCCACTTCTGGGACTCCGGGTGTTCTATTTTTTTCATTAAAAGCAACATCATCCTCACCTGGAAGATACTGGCTCCATAAGGAGTTCTCCATGCATTAAGAAGGTTATCTTTCCCAGTACTTACAAACCATTTACCTAGAATATAAAACAGAAGGACTAAGACTACATATGAAACACACATCTGACAGATTTTGGGTTTTCAACTTACATATATGAAATTTGTTGACTAATTATCATTGTAAAAGCTCTCACCACTAATCAACATAGTACTTTTGCTTACAGTCAATATGGACACTTATGCTTTGCAGTGTGTCACACACTAGGATATCCGTAGACTCCAACTAGAAACAGCTTTTTTGGCACAAATCAATCCTCACAGCAGCCTTTAGACAAATGGATGGTTGTTTGTAGATAAGTATGTTTGAATTTATAAAGCACAGATATTTATTCATAACTTAAGAAACTGAAATACTAAGTAGATTTTGATTATAAAATGAGCTATGATTATGTAATAATTAAACAAAGCATGAATTAGAGCCCTGACCTCCAGTTCAGTGTTCAGGGCAACTTACCACAGTAAGCAAACTTGAGTGACAACACACAGCTCTCATGAAGGTGCAGTTGATATTTGTCTGGTTTATTTACATGTAGCACTTCTACGTTGCTGCTTTCCATTCCCACAGCTAGCCATTCACCAGTAGGACAATAACCAAGGGAAAATATCTGGAAATTAAGATGCATTTACACTTTTTATTTTTTCCTACATATACACTTTTTCTTTTTTTCTACAGTGGTTAAACTAATTGGGAGAGAGAAAGAGAGAGGGAGAGAGGAGGGCCAATTCATCTAGTTCAATAGCAAGACTGCTGTTCAAAATTCAGTGACTAAATAACCTTTGTTCTGACCTATTAAATTAGAAAATAGGAAAATAGAGTAGTGTTAAACTCTTATTTTGTTACGGAAGGTAAACATATGAAAGCTCAAAAATACTGTGTTGTGAGCAGCCAAAAGGAAGAAAGCAAACAACCTAACAGCTGCACTGGACTTAATCTCAGCTTTTATCCTAAGTGCTTCCCTCCCACCTCGAAGCCCTTCAAGCTCTTGGAAAATCCAGTTACCTGTGATGTGAAGTCGTGCTGTTGTAGCTGTCTCCCCTCTCTCAAGTCCCAGGATCTGACAGTGTTATCCAAACCTCCTGTCCAGAGCTTGGTACCATCATTAGAAATGTCAATACAGCTGGCTCCATCTGTGTGGCCCTGGAATTGCCTGATAAAACAAACCAGATTGAATAAAGATTTCCTGCCAGAGCTCAAGGTAAACACTGCTGTGGTGTTAGTTTTGGACTCTGTATGTGTATGTCATCTTTTCAGTGTCTGCTGATGGGCAAAAATCAACCCTCACTCTTACTGAGCATGAAATACAACAGTATTACAAAAACATTTTCCAGGTGCTAGAGGAATCAGTTGCATCATAGCTAGCTGAACAAACTCAAATATTTACAATCACATTTTGAAAAGCAGAAAAAAAAAGGCTTATGAGAACATTGAAGTACATAAACTACAGTTAAAAGCACTAAGGACAACTCGGTTTAAAACAACTACTGAGAGAACAAAACTCTTCCAGTTTCAGAAAACAGTTTGTGTTTTCCTTTGGCTGCAAGTCAAGATGATAAATAATAAGCAGAGATATTAACAGGATGGGATCCAGATAGTTAAAACACAAGCGCTGATGATTCAGCAAAGTTACATTCTCTGTGTCAGGAGACCACAAAAAACTAAATAGTGCATTATGTTTTAGAATCTTCTAATTACTAATTCTCAGCTTTCAGCAATCAGAAGGTCATCTCAAGTTTTTCTTAATCCTTTGGCAAAAGCGTTCTGAGGCTCCTGCATTTTTCATCAGCAATTAGCTTTAGGAAAGTCCTATGCCTTAATGTGAAATGTCAGGGTGGGGGGAGGAAGGACAACTAGCTTGGAAATGAAAGGTATGAATCACTAAGTGCTGTCATAGAAAGGTCACGTGGCACATTTTGTTTTGTAGCTCTGGTCTCAAAATTCCACGTGTTATCAATTAGCAAGATCAGACAGCAAGTGGTGGGAACACCTACAGCAAACATGCAAAAGGCAACATAGTCATAAATGGAGAGAGTGCACCTCTACAGAGACTAAACATGCATAGGGCAAACTGAAGATTTTATATAACTAAAATCTTTTTCACTGTCCTAAAAGTTCAAGAGAAAGTAAAATTTGCTTGCACATTAGTACGAATCTCTGCATGTAAGTTTCGCTAATTATTAATACGCAGGAAATATAATTGAAGCACGGCAGACTACGCAGACTGTTCAGTGTTTGTTTTCAGAACTTTTAAAATATCACAGCCTTTCCCAATTTAGGCTCTCTATTCTCATAATATTGTAAGCCACCACTACTTTGGTAAGCATAAACCAAAATATATCTTCTAGTAAATCACACAGCTAGTTTGTAAGAGCCATTTCACACATGGCCTTATCTTTCTTTCTCTGTCAGAGCATTATTGCTGAATATTGACCTGCCAGACTAATCTTCTAATATTCATTAATCAAAGGTCTAATGGAGGATTTCAAAAGTAATTTACATAGCAATTCCTCTGTTTTACTCTTTCAAACATTCTAAAAGTTTTAGAGATTGAATTGCCCCCCAGAAATCAAATACCTTTTTCTCATGAAGGATCAAACATCAGCCCTTTATGCTTTCCGAAAGAACTGAAGGGCTTCACACTTTTAACTGCTTTTGCAATATTAGTTTTATTACTTATCATCACTAAATAAGTACTAAAAATTCTCTTAAATACTTAATGCTTAAAACAAAGGAAAAGAACAAATTGCAAAGAGTTCTCTAAAAGATGTTTCAGTCTACATCAATCACAAACCAGCAGAAATGTCGCTTGTAAAAACCCACAAACAAATCCCAAACAGGAACTTTTACACTGACTTCAGCAAGTTATGGACCAATCCTTTAGCCCTGAAAGTACATTTTCTAAGAGTAGGTTGAAGATATCAAAACTAGTTTCTGACCAAATCAGGAGAAAACCACAGTCTTTGGATAAGAAATATTATTTACTTTGCTGTCATGAACAACCATTCAGGGAGATAAATATGTAGCTGTTCAAAGAGTAAGTTCTATTAAAGTTCTCTGTAAACAAGTAGTGACTCACCTGACCAATGACTGATTGTGCAGATCCCACACTGCAATGTTCCCATCACTGCAGCAGGAAAAGCACACCTTGGAATCAGGGCTGATAGCCAAAGCATAGCAGGCAGGGGCTGAGGATGTCAGCTCTGCTTTAATACGAGGAGTTGGTGCCGCCAGGTCCCATATGGATAATGTGCTGGCCTCTCCGCCAACTATTAGGGTGCATCCATCAGGCAGCAATTTACAAGAGCGGATGTAGTTATCTCTGTTCTGCACAACACAAATCACCTCAGTTATGTTAATACATGCCTGCCAGTAATGACCACTGATATGATCCTGACTGCATCCAAGTTTTAAACATTCTTTTCATTACCAAAGTACTGAAGAGTAATCAGCACATCCTAAAGGTTTCAAACACTTATTTCTTATCACTAATCAAAGAATGCAGCTGCAGAAATTAAATTACAGACTCCTATAGCCACAGTGTACAATGTTTTAAATCTGATGAATGGCAACTCTTTGATCCCATTACACAAAATCAGAGTAAGTTTGCACTTCTGCAAGTACATTACATCAGCTAAGGTCACCAACAGTAAGTGTTAAGGTAAATGACCTTTCATTTGCATTTATGCAATCCTGTATGAAAATGCAGTTCAAGTCTCATGTCTTTCAGGCTTTGAAGTTTTCTTTCAAATACTATTTTGCATTCAACATTTTAAAATTAAAATATTAAGTATTCCCATACTAGTCTTGGATTTAGGCTAGTTTGTTGTTCAACATGATTCTTACTGTACTTATACTACTAGTTTCACATTTGTGATACTATTGCTGATTGAGCAGTACTATAGGACATTTAGAGGTGAAAAACATTTCAACCTTCACTTATTGCAGGCTTGACTCCTTAAGTGTGTTGGATGTCCATTTCTCTGTAACAGCTGCCAAATTAACATGGTAACAGTTCTTTAGGAAATGAAGGGTTAAGATCTATAACTCAAAACGTACAAAAAAAAACCACTGTGAGAAGTGGTCAACAATACTCCTACTACTACTACACTTTTTATTCACAACAAAGGAGCAGCAAGCAGTGCAGTGGAAATGTTGGCTTAGTTTCTGTCAGCCATTACTGCTCCACAATTAAAATGAAAGCAGCTAGGACTGTGAATCCAGACACATATCTGTCACAGAACAGAACAGAATACATATTCAACAATACTTTAATACTAGACAAGTAACACAGGGATAGCGTAAATAAAGGGTAAAGGCTAAAAAAGGCAAACCAAACCCACCATATTTAATTAGATCAACACTGAAACTAGAATTATTTTCATCCAGAATAGATGTTACTGTGCTTTATGACATTAAACCTTCTCAGTTAACATTTCACAAACATCTATGCTGCTTCTGAGAATCATCTTTTATAGAGTCATTAACTTAATCATCAGGATGACTGGAAGGAAAGAAAAAAAAAGAAAAAAATCAGGTACACTCTCTACTCAGAAATGTTATCTAATCTGTTATTTGGCGCTTAGCGATAATGTTTATCCCTAAACAAACCAGTGCACTTCTCTGTAACTCCACCTGTTTAGCATGAAAAAAAAGACAGTTAAGTACATAAAGCAGGAAACAGAACTGCCTGCTATTTTATTGTAATATGAACAAAATCCAGATAAGGACAGCTATTTCCATATTGAGTCTCCATGGAGAAGCTACCCTTGTGTACAAGTCTCTGTTCACTTACCAGGCAGTCCAGCTGAGAGACAGGGCTCTTGTTGCCAGGCTGGCTGATGTCCCAGACTTTGACGCATCCCTTCCCACCCGTGTACACGTGTCTCGTGGGGTTGCTGATGGTAACTGCACACACAACTTCCCCGTGGTTCAGAGTGTTGATCTGACGGGCATGGCGAGGGATTCCTGGACCAATGAGGGCATCAGGAGGGAAAGGAACGGGCTGCATCTGACCATCTGCAGTAACGTGAAAGGAGTATGCTCTGAGGGAAA